GAAAATGGGAAACTCTCTGAAGCGGTGATTGGTAAACTATCTGAAACAACCTTTTGACGGAGGCGATGATATTTATATGTGACATTTATCAGTGCCACAATGGTGATGTCTGGCGAATTTTGGCAATCTCCTCTTATCCTGGTGGGGGTATCCTCACTAAACGTGAAAATTTTTGAGCTATTAACTGCTCGTCCAGTGATTTACCCCTCTGGCACTGAAGTCCAATCAATTATCTCCTCAGGGTTTGGGAACGACTTAAGCATTACCCACAATTATCCCGCACTAAAGTTGTAACACTTCAAATGTTCTATCCACAGGAAAACCATCAAACTTTGATGATTACATACCAACTGCATCCACGTATAGCAAATTACTGGCCCCAAATACATACACATATTTCCATTAAGATGTTCTTGTTCATATTTTCATTTTCTTGTAGTATATAGATACATAACTTAATTTCACAATAAAAATAATTAAATTTAAAAAAAAAAAACTCTTACTACATTTGCCATCACAATTCAGCTGCAGCTGTTTAAATTAATTGTTAATTCTTAGCTGTTAATTATTAAATTTCTTTTTTTTTCTGTAATTAAATTAATTAAAGCGTTTTGAAATTGTTCCAAATTATATTTCAATATATCATTTAATTTGTTTGTTGGCCTTTAATTAGTAGCTAGAGAAACAAAATAATAAATAACAATATGTTCTAATTATTAAACAAAAAATCAACAACAACAACTACATTGAATACCAGTTAATTCGTTAAATCAAAACAAAACTTTACAAATTTCCTACTTTACAATTCTGAAGGGAACTACAGCTGTCTTAGAGTTGATTTAATATTTACCAGAGATCGAGCATTCTATTTCACCACCGTTTTTATACCTGGCATAATATTGGTGACGTCATCCTTTATAACATTCTGGTTAGAATGGAATGCTGTTCCGGCTAGATCCATGATAGGTAAAACAATCAAATGCCTATTTAAATATCGTATCGTACCAACAAAACAACAACAACGAAAATACAGAAACAAACCTCTACCCCAACATAACACAAGAAACCCCTTTAAATGCAACAAAACATCCACATAATTCCAAAAATTCCCAAATTCCAATAAAACTCAACAGAAATATTATCATTTTCATTACCAAACATAATTATCTGCAACACCTACATTATTGCCAATTTGAAACATAATAAGCACATGAAGTTTACAAAACAAAAAATTCTAAACAAATTGATTTCACTTTATTTATTTTTATTTTTTTTCATACACACTTGCATTTTTCCTCCACAAAAATATCTTCTGCTTTCTGATTCCGATTTCTGATCTTTAGTAGAGAGTGATATCAACACCATTAAAATGCCTGGTAGTCTTCGCTCTTTTTTTTTTTTTTTTTTTTTTTTTTTTTTTTGTTTCATTACCTTTATCCTTTATTTTTTTTGTGATTTATTTATTTATTATTATTATTTTTTTTTTTTTTTTTAATTTTTCAATAAACAGCCTCCATCCCCCTGCAATATTTCATTTCCGAATTATTAGTTTTCAAATTGTTTTACAATTTTTCTTTATCACATTGTCATTCTCCCTTAAGACTCAGACGGACATTTCATGCTGTGGTACGCTACGACATATTTCGATATTTAATCATTGTATGTAAAAGCCTGTTTATCCATAGAACAAACACCCACCCATGCTGTTATGTAAAGAATAAAAGAAAATCTGAATCAATACAACTAATCGTAACTAGATTCGTTTTCATTATTTTTTAACCAATGCTTCACTACAAAAACAAAATTCAACAGTCAACCCAAAAATTTGTTCAAGTGGTACAGTCCACATTGAAATTGAAAATACAATAATATTTAAAACTGAGACCACCTTTTTAAATACAAAAATTCACTGCAATATTTTTGGCATTATTTTATTTAATTAATGTTGTTTTTGCATGAACCCCTTAAATTCTCGAAATATATATATTTTTTAGTTAATTTAAAATAAACGATAAATTATTACGCGTTATTAGATTAAAAGAAAAACTTGAAATGAAATAAAACATTTTTGAAATTTTATCCAGGAAAATGGTTGTCAGGTGATTCCATATATCCCATATATCTTCAAAAGACTTTCAGTTATTCTAATAGCATGACATGGCATGATAGTAGGTAGTACGAGATATTTTGTAAATGTGATAAAAATAAAATAAATTTTACAAAATTCGAGTATGGAAAAAAGTATTTATTCAAAAAGTAAAAAAAAAAAATTGACTTGAACTTACGAACTTATACTCATCAATCAGAAATTATAAACCAAAAATGCAAAATTATAGCCATTGAATATGAACATTTTGGTTTGAACCTTCCGAATGCAAAAAACATGAAAACTTTATATAGGATGATATATTTTAGTTGTTATCCAAATATAATCAGATTAATGTAAAAATAGTTCTAACTAATGGAATTGAGGGTATTCCTCACAATCCACAATGGATTCCGGCCGTGTCTTTAGACTTGAAATGAGATTCGTCTTCAAATATTCTTATCATCGGTTGGGACCTTCAAATATGTTTTTATCCCCCAAGAAGTAATAAAACATTACATTCATTTCTGTTGAAATAATCATCAAAATACCGCAAATGGACAAGAAAATGAAACTTTGTTATGAAGAAATGTTTTACACTCTAAGGAATTCCGAATTCCATTATTGAAAACGTGTACCAATAAAACGCGATTTCAAATTGCATAAAAACTCCAATTCTTGGCAATATTTAGGAGGACTGATAAAAAATAACCTTTATTTTAATAGTTTTCAAAAAGTATTTATTTATTTTTCAATGACTACTTTCACCTCAGTAGCATTACGACAGGCCTGATCGTACCATTGGTTTCTTGATGGTGATCTTAGGTATCCAATTGTTGATTCTGTTGCAGTTTGTAGGGAGTGGGAAATTCTTCGCTATTGTGCAATAATTTATGTTATTATCGGGACAAGGAGTGGTTTCGACTAACGGCATACGCTTCGATATTCGCTCCTTCCGTATATCACAACATGATCAATTTTGATTTCGCGTTGCTTGATCAGGAGAAATCCAGGTGGTCTTGTGTATATTGCAATGCTTGAATCTGATGTTGCTAACTACCATGTTTTTGCTGCCGCGAAGTCAATCAACCTCATATGTTTCTTCATGAAGGCTGAATTTTCTGACGGTGGGGCCAAAGATATTTTCCCTTCCAATTTCTGCATTAAAATCTCCTAGCAGAATTTTAATGTCATGACCATGCTTTTTCTAGGCGCTCGTAAAATATGTCTTTGATCTGATCATCTTTGTCTCGGTCGGAGCTTGAGCGGAAATGAGACTAATATAGAAGAACTTTGCTTTTATGCGGACTATAGCAATTAGCTCATCTACTGCAGTGAATCTGGAGACGAAGTCTTCTATTCTCCTGTTTACAATAAATCCGCATACAATTTTATTTCTCGTTACATGGCAGCTATAAAACAGGGCGTAACCATCTGATTTACTTTCGTCAGTACCTTTCCATTGCATTTCCTGTAAGGCAATAATGTCGGCTTTGTACATCTTGAGTACATCCGCCAAGGCGACAACTGCGCCTCTTCTTTACAACGTGCGCACATTCCAAGTGCAGATTAGCATATCGCGGTCCTTTATACTTTGCGGGGATCCCTCAACCCATTTTTTATAGTTCCTATCGGTGAACTCACAGCACATATCAGCTCACTATTTCAATGGATGATGAAAATAGTTAAGGCTGGGCTTCGCCATGTTAAAGCCAATCAGAGCCGTTGCTTGGTATATATCCAATTTTTTAGTGCGGAGATGTGTTATACAATGAAACCCCTAATTTCTTGAAAAAACGTGTCCTAAATTCCCAAAATAACGAATATTTGCGTTACCGGTATATGGGGTCTATCCTAAAAATCGAACCAATATTGATCATTTTCGGTAGGAAGAGTTAATACCCAATGAGAACCAAACGTGGCAAATTTCAGTCAATTCGTTTGAAATCGTATTAAAAATCCCAATAATACAGAATATTTTAGGGTACCATTATATGGGGGCTATATCAACTGGTGGCCTTCGGAGAAATTAGAAAAACGAACAAAAGGAGACAAGTCATTGTACGGCATTTTTAACCGGCCAAAACAATAAATACATTTTTGATAATATTATCGCATTATAATTATCATGACAGAATGTATATAAATAGTAGTCCTCGTATCCTCTCAAACACGTTCGCGGACGTGAATGCTATAGCATTCATTTTCATACTGCTGCAAACTGATGCCATCAGTTATATTTAATATTTATTAATATCTTATCATTACACCCATAACTGATATGATTTTGACTATTACGACAATTTAAAAAAAAAAGTGTTGCCTACCATGTTTTGCGGCTCTCTGATTTTTTGTGTCTGCGAACGTGTTAATATATTCCCATATAGGTTAAAATAATTTTGAAATATAAACCTCTTAGAATGACAGAAATAAAATATATACAATTTTCTTTAAAGAATAAAAAAAAAACATTATCAAACATTTTTCATAATTATTCATTCTTATAAGTTGATAAAAATGTGACTTCTGGAGATTTTAATCATCAGCGAAATTTTCGAAATGAAAACAAAACAAAATTCCTGATAACTTTTAGCTTCAATACAATTACCAACCAAAGTCTCGTACTTCCTCCGATCCCTTCATGCAAGTAACTGAAAGCTCTGCCACAATCAACAGATTAGCAATGCTCAATAATGTTAGGGAATAATTTATTAGAATTTCCACTTGATTAGGTAATTAATGTATAAAGAAAATTCAAAATTAAATACCTAAATATAGATACATATGTACTTAAATGTATTTATAAAAATTATATACAAACAACACACCAAAAAATAAAAAAAAAAAACAAATAGAAAAAGAATCTTTGATGATGTGGCCAACACGCCATCTTCTGTATGTATGTTCTTTAAAGGTAATTACAGTTGTCTGCAAGTTGATTTAACATTTACCCGTGATCGTGCGTATTATTTTACAACCGTTTTCATACCCGGCATTATATTGGTGACCTCATCCTTTATTACATTCTGGCTGGAATGGAATGCAGTACCAGCCAGAGTTATGATCGGTACGTAGCATTCATCATAATTATTATTTTCTTCCTTTTTTTTTGTTAATTGTAGCAACAATAACATCAACAAACAACAACAACGACAAGAACTCTTACTATTACGACAACAACAACAACAACAGCGACGACAACAACCACTATCATAACATTAGGCTAGAGTCTTTTTATAATTATATCGTGATCTCATTTTACAATGCTTAACAAAAAAATAAAATAAAAGAGCCAGCAAGAGAACTATGCTGTCTCTTTCGTTTCGTTCTGTGTGTCTATATTACTAAGTACATATGTATATTTCCGTGTGTGTGTGTTCACTGTTAGCTCTTAACATACAAAAAAAAAAAGAAAAACAAAAAACAAAAAACTAAATGTAAATATAAAATTTTATTAAAATAAAAGACATCATTTCATAGGATTGAGCACTTCGCAAGTGCCCTGATTATATCTCAATTATTAGGAACAACAAAAGATTTCTACTATAAACGTTAGCAACTAGCATTAATTGTAAAAGTTTTTCAACTGAAGTCCAAAAGGAATACGAAAACAAAAAATCTAAATCACTTTTATGTCTTATCGTCGCAGAGTTTTTTTTTATTGTCATTGTCATCGTCTCTAAGTGTTGTTGAGGTTTCTCCATTTGCGAAGTAAATTAGAAAAAGTTTATTTCGTTGTAATTTTCCATGTCACTTGCAACAACAACAGCAACAAGTGAACGTTTAAGTGAACTCTGTCACTCGTTAGTTTCTGCCTTAATCGAATAAATATCAAAATAGAAAAAAACTTTATTCTTTTGTTTGATTTATTTCCCAACTACTTTTGGTTGATTTCTTAACTCCCATTCCCATTAGCTGTGTCAAGTTCTGTTCTGTTCCAACATTCACTGGCTTTTTGTTATAAACAGCACATGCATGCACTACTTGTTTCCTTTCTACTTTCAACCACACATTTCGACATTGCATTTAAATATATTGTACGTATTTATATAATTATTTAAAACGATTATGTAATAGGCACAATTATTTCGAAATTATGTTATTACAAAAAATATTTTGATTAACTCATATATACTTTTTATAAATGAATTTATACATTATTAATATTATACCATATAACTCCATTAAATTGTCAATTTCAAGAAGAAAAAAATATCAAGTTGTGAAAAAGTATAATAAAACATTCAAATAATTTTTTAAATGGCATATGAAATATAATATTTTAGGGAACCAAAATATCTTCAAGTCTTCAAAACCATGATTTACTAGCAAAGGACTCCTGCAGTTCAACAATGGCTATTTACCAGTCTTTCCAGGCATCATTTCAAAAAAGGATGCGCTGGAACATGGGACTCGTATACTCAGTATAAAAAAATATAACAATAACAAATATATAACAACCACAATACTTGTAAATGAATGTATATAAGAAGAAACCCCTATTCTTATGAACTCAGGATGCTTTTGGGAGTGATTGGTCATCTTAACATCATCTTATGGGAGCTATGTCAAAACATGAATCTACATTTAAAATACTCTGTCAGTACCAGAAGATTGATTCTGTTTTACCAAAGGATTGATCATATGTTGGGTGATATCAACAAAAGTGTTCCTATAGACCCTATCGTCTGATTTAATGTAGATTTGATAAAATATTAGGTTGTGGAAAAAGAATTCAATTATTTTTATATGAACTGTAGGACTTTATTTATCATGCTTCGGAATGTCCGATTTAGGCCATATATGCAGAAGTCATGCTCTCTATTTGCAAACAACTCTAGTACTCGATTTTCACAATCCCCCCTAGATACCAATTTTTTATCATTATAGAAATTTTGCAATGCAAGAAAAATATGATAATCGCTTGGTGCCAAGTCCGGACTGTATGGCGGTTGCATTAAAACTTCCCAACCAAGCTCCCGAAGTTTCTGGCGAGTCACTCTAGATGTGTGTGGCCTAGCGTGGTCCTGGTGGAACACGACACACTCCTGGTGGCCAATTCTGGTCAATTGCTATCTGCGAACGGCCCAGTTGTTAACAGTATGGATAAAAATTTAGCGTTTAACAGTAGGGACAAAATTTAGCGTTTGACCATATGGAAGCAACTCATAATAAATAATCCACCTCCAGTCCCACCAAATGCTGGATGTTAGTTCCTTCCTGGACGTTAGTTCTGGTTTGACCACGATCGTTTTCGCTAGTGATCCATTTCTTATCTCCAGTCACCATCCGTTTAAGTAATGGGTATATCTCATTCCGTTTGGCCAAAGATGGAAATTCGATCCACCCAATTTTTTATGTTAATTGGCGTGGCATCCAAACGTCGAGCTTCTTTCTCCTGCTCCAGCTTCTTTAATCCAGCTTTGTGTGAATAGTTTAAAACAGTTTTATGGTCGAATTTTAGCTCTTGGGTGATGTTACGTCTGCTAACATTTCTCCGATTTTATCGATGGATTTCTCTTTCACCGACCTAATATTTAAAAGTAATTTGCAAGTTTTCAAAATTAGATCTTAGGCGTAAATAGGATACGATATTTGCAATATTTTATATATACTAGTATTAAAAATATTGACCAATTTTTCAAACTTTGACCCTCTATTTTCCAAGAGAATCAGCAGGCATATTGGGCTATGTGATTTTACAATCACGTACAAATACATTCTTCACATCGAACGTTAAGAATGTTCGATGTTCCACACGGTAGGTTACACTTACTTCAGAAAGTTCTGCAAAATTTTGTGTCAATCGGCCATACTTTGGGGATTTAGTGCCCCATTTACTGAAAATCGTACGAAACTATATATGGGAGCTATATCAAAATTTGAACCGCTTTCATCAAAACGTGACACTCGTTATGTTACAGTAAATTCAGTACGTTCTGCAAAATTTTGTGCCAATGTACCAAATAAGTGACCTATGGCAACTTTCATCCAATTCGGATCATAAATGCGACCTGTACTTTGTTTACAATTTAACATGGACAGACGGACAGACGGACGGACATGCACAAATCGACTTAGAAAGTGATTTTATGCATATTCTCAAAAGGAACCATGTGTCTATCTCGTTTACTTTTGCCTGTTACAAACATATGCACAAAGACATAATACCCTGTAACACAGTGTGGTGAAGGGTATAAAAAAGAGAACGCAGAGAACTCATAAAAAGGGCACCAGTTCCCATTCATTAACAGCATTACATTACATATGTATTTTTGGATAAACTGCTTTACAAAATAATCGCGATACTTCGCGATTCGATCACATACAACAATATAATTGGTATCAATTTAAAAATCAACCACTACTATCAACTATGTCCTTCAGGAGTAAATATATACGCCATAGAATAGAACTTTTGTAATTTTTCACACAGAAGTCCATTTGATCCGCTAAATATTGCCCAATCTTCATCAAAACAGTCAGACTTATTCCATGGCCAGACCCCTTTCTTTTTATCATAACTGTGGCCTCTGAAGAGACCATTTCGTGCCTTAAATATCAACCGATCATTAACAAAACAATAGGAGGTTTCATTGGCTAGAACCCATCCTACATACAGTATTTCGTGACGATTGAAATATAGCGTGTTTACAAATTATAATGAAAGGGCGGACGGACGGACACACATGTCTAGATCGACTCAGCTAGTCGAGATGATCGATGTGCTTAAATGTAGGACCAATATTTCGCGACGTTACGAACTTTTGGGGCTACACAAAGCTATAATACCCTGACAGTATTGTTATGTAGGGTATAATTATCTACTTTAATGATATGGAGGGTATATTACAATTTTTCATACAGATTTTAATACATCACAACTTAATAATAATTATATTAGTCCTGTATTATCCAATTATTCCAAACCGAAAAACGGCATCTATTTTGTATGTGGTAATAATAAATGTAATAACATATTGCTATTAAACAACTTATAGTGTAATAATCCTTTATAATAAACGATAACATTCGTTGCTATTATTATTATAGCTGCTGGCAATCACTTTGTTAATAGTCAAAGTGTCACATTTGATTATAAATATGTTCATTTCATTAGTCCGCTTTATAAAATATTAATAAATTCAATTTATCAGCAAAACCTCATCGACCGCCTAATACGATTAGTTATCGATATAGTATTATGTATATTTATCTTGATATCAAAGTTAATTTGTATAACAATTAAATTCGAAATGCACAATAACATATGGGAAATTACAAAAATCTTTTAAATTCCTTGAAGCTGAGGTTTGCAAGGTTATAACTCGCGAAATATGAACATATTGCATATAATTTGAATTCAATTCTATAAAATGAAGTGTTCTTGTCAAAATCTTGAAATATTGGTAATAAATAATAAGTTGCGTGGAAGCTGTGATGGTGGTAATGTAAAAAAATGGGTGTAAATGTGTTGAAGCCAACGAGTTTTTTTGTGTTCGTTCCCGATTTGTGGCTAAACTACACAACGCACACACATGTGATCAGTGACTAAGTTGCAGAATACCCCATGGACAATATGGTTCTAATGTATGATTTTTCGATATAATCACTGCATCCACCCAAAATGGATGCTGACATTTTGAAGCCGGATTTTCGGTGTTTTTTGAATTTTTCTTATAATTAGGATGCGCATCCAGACAATAGAATAAACTAATTATAGGATCGTAGAACTCGTGATTCTGCTTCGTTTAGTGTATATCTCATGAATGTGCTCACTGTAGCTTCTTTGCAATTGGGTTCCAAAGACGAAAATTTAGTGCGTAAATTTTTATAAAAAACATATTTTTTTAGTCTAAAATTAAGAAAGTCCATTCAAATTCCGTGGAACCCCGCGTGATTTTAGTTTTTTTACGTGCCGGATCTAATGAGCCCATCCATGTTCAATTCCGCCCATTAAAACGGCGGATATAGGTACCTTGAATGTGGGAAAAACTGCAAAAACTTATTTTGACAAATTCGCGTAAATAATCGCGGTTTTCTTCGAATTAATTTTACATGCATTTATGCTTGTATTGTCAAATTCGCGAATCTGCGTGGAAATAGGTCAAAAATACATCGATACGCGAATAATATGCGTATTTTATCCAAAATTGATTGTGGAGGCACATCCGCGGTTCTTAACCGATCCTTTTAAAATAGGTGTCCTTTTGCGTATTTTCATAGGAGATTACTAAAATCGGATGCGCATAAAAATCGTATGCACGTTGCGTGATTTTTAGCCATTTTTAGGGTTTTTGCATAGTAAAGTGCATCGAGTGGCACACTTTGACCGCTAAATTAAACATTGAAAAATTAATAATTATTGAAAGACATTGATTCGGTTTATACGAAAATCGCATGCGCATCAACTGATTTCAATTAATTCGCGAATTGCAAGCTTTTCAATATTGATCATTTTTATGTATTGTAAATGCAATATATTTAGCCATTAATGACGTCGAAACTCTTATCAGATGAATCTGCCGATATTTAACAATCATCTAAAAGAATTTGCAGAAGAAAGCGTCGTATATTTTAGAAGATTAAGGCAAAACCGTATCCTCTTAACCATACTAAAAAAATCGAAAATTCAAAAAAAAAAAATAGTTTTAATTCAAAAATTAATTTATTTTATTTTCCGATATCTTCATGTTTCTATTTGTTTTTCGCGACTATTAAACCGTATTTCAGTGTGATTTGACTAGTATGCAAAGAAAACAATGGTGTTTAAGCATTTGTGAAGAAATTCGCGAATTACAACGAATAGGAATCCATTTAATATATATTTGAAATACAAGATTTAAAACCGCTATAACTTTTGTGCGCAGCATCCGAATTTGTGAACGCGAACAGATTTCGAATCAGCATATTTTTCTTAACCTATGTACCAAAAATCATAAATGTGCTCGCAAAAAAAAATTTTCAAAATTTTTTTAATGGAATTTTAAAAGAATTTTGTAATTTCCCATATATATTTATTTGCTCTCTCTCTCATACAAATGGACTGTGATGTATTTCTAATGTGTGTTGTATTTCTTTACAGCGATATATTTAAACATACATACATATATAGAAATTGTATATATTATAAATCATGATAGAAATCAAATCATAATACAGACACACATACACAATGTTAAACGTTAAATCTGATTTAATTAAGCAGAAAGCTTTTTTCATGCGAGAAGACATACATACTTACATACATATGATTTACTTACATACAATTTTTCCCATACAAACGATTTTCTGAAAATAACATCGAAATATTCCAATTGCTAACATTTCATTTCATTACGATTAATAAAACCATAGCTACCGACTATTTTGTTATACCCATATTCGTCTGTTAATAAGCGAACATTGCAACACACCATTCATCTGTCACTCACTCTAATATATGTGTCTCTTAATACCCTGAAGGAGTGTTGGGGTGTTGTATCGCCTTTGTCTACTATTGTGACGACATGTCTCCATATTTTCTACAACTTGCCTACATACCATGTAATAAGTAGAAGCATTTGTTATGTTAACAGCCAACTGAGCATGGTTATGCTTCTTCTTATTTTTATTTAATTAGAAATATGTTGGCGGTAATAGACAGAAATTTTGTTAAAAGCGCGAGTTTAAATTATTAATGGTAATTGGATAATTAATTTAATTAATTGGTGAAGAAAATGTTTTGAGCAAAAGAAATTATAAAAAAAATTACAAGTGACATATGTGACCTTTTGTCTATATCTACATATTATTCACTTACTACTGACCGTGTCCACATATGTGACGCTGTGTCTATATCTAAAAACTACTGACTTACTACTGAACATGTCACTAGTTCATTTCCAATGACAAGCACATGTTAAATGTCAATGGTAAAATGCATTGTGTTGGGTATAGTCGGTCAACAGTATTGGTGACAATGTCAATAGTAAGTCAATACTGATTTACTGTATACATTTCCTACAGGGTAACTACTGACACGTACACATACACACTGTGTTTCCAGTCTATATTTTTACATCGCTCTGTGTTCCCAGCCCACCCATACACAGTTCGTTGTCCTCTAACCATAACCATATTCTCGGTGACAATACAATTATCTCCTACTAGTCCAAACTGTTTTTCTTTTATTGACTTTTATTAATAATAATTATATTTGTGTTATTAATCAATTTTCTTTGTATATTTCTCTTTTCGTGGCTGCTGTTGTTGTTGATGTGGGGATAATTGTGTACGTGTCATGCACACCCAACGCAATTGCAACAATCTGTCAACGACGACGACGACAACAGGTGTAACAACAATGCTGAATTTCTTCACGACATCAAACGGTTTCCGCAGCACACTTCCGGTCGTCTCAAATCTCACCGCCATGAATGTCTGGGATGGTGTCTGTATGTGTTTCATTTATGCCTCGCTCTTGGAGTTTGTTTGCGTCAACTATATGGGGCGTAAACGGCCACAGCACAATGTGGTCTATCGGCCTGGAGAGAATCCGGTAACACAGGTAATGTATTGACTGACATTCGCAAATTAAATGCCATACAATAGAAGCTAAGCATAAGTGCACAAGTGATATTCTGCATACGAACAGGCTTTTAGAGATATCACTAACCAGAACCCTGCAAGAATTTAACCATTTACAATTCTCGAGCCAAGGGCATGTCAAGAAATAACCGAAACAAAAGCTAAAGAATATCCCCCAAACATCACATTTAACAATTCATGAAACAATAAACTCAGTCGATCAGAATATTTTCCTCTATCCCTATATCGCTCTCTTCTCTCTCTCTCTGTCTCAAAATCAAAACTATCAATCAGTCGATTTTATTTAAATTGTGTTTCTTAATGTCTTTTCTATTCTTAAATTATTATTATTTTTTTTTTTGTTTTAAAATTCAAAATCTTTTATTTTAATTTAAAAATTATATCAGTCTATTCACGCTCTCTCTCTCTCTCTCCTAGTATTTTTCCTCTCTCTATTTTTTGTTCTCTCAGTATATCAAATGTACATCATATATTACAGAATATAAATTACTTACTTATAATTTTGTGGCATTTGTCTTTTTCTTATTCTTATTACTGTATTTTCTGTTTCTTTTAATAACTCCACGTTCATTTCAAATACCTTTAGTTCTCTTCTTTAGCATTTTGTACTTGATTCAATATATATTTATATACAAAATGAATCGAATTTATGTGTGTAACCATTTCTCTAACTAATCGATATCAATGTTATCGCATTTATCCGAACACCCGACACATTTTTATGAAACCAATTCCTTTTTAGTTGTTATTTTTTTATTTTTCAAAATTAAAAATTTTAAAATGCATTATTAACAAAATTTTGGTCATAAGCAGTTTCTTTTTGTTGGTATGCGTGTGTTAACTATTTTTGTTTCTTCTATCTTTTGTGTCCTGCAACAAATTAATACCTAAATTTTTTCTAATTGTTTTGCATCAAAAATACCAACTCACAAAATTAAATTAAAGAAGAAGAATAATAATAAAAGAGAAATGTTAAACCAATCCTAAAAAAATATTTATTTAACTTTAAATTCAGTTTCGAATCCATACCATAAGTTTTCAAAAATATGTTAATGTGTGTGTGTATCTAACCCCCATTTAGTTTCCTGTCCCACCTGTATTTTGAGTAATTAATACAATAAATATTTTAAAAATGCCTCATTTAATTATATATATTTGTTTTTTATAATACATATAAAAATAGTTGAGATTTTTTACTATTGTATATTATAGGTAAATTCGAAATAGTTTATATATTTCGTGGTATAGCTAGGACATTATCAATTTGTATTGTATATATGTATGTAGTTATGTAGCATTGTAGGTTTTCTTAGATACTATTTCTATTTTAGGCTGCAGTTGAAATGTATGTTATAATATGGAAAGGACAATAATTTACCATTATTTATAAATGCTAACACATAACTAATAATGTTGTAATTAATTTTATTGGTATTTCAATATTTTTTAAGTTCGAAACAAGACTACATAGAAATTTCTTTCTTCACTAAGGACTCAATATGTACAGAGTTGCAAAGTTTAACAATTTTGCATAGATTCCGGTTCCAATCACATTTTTAAATCGACTCCGGATATAAAGTCTAAGTAAATTGGCACAATTAGGTATTGTAGGTATTTAATTTCATGAAATCAAACGAAAATATATATTGTAACTATATCTAAATATGAGCCAGTTTAAATGAAATTTTATCCACTGCACTATACACTGTTTTCTGAGACACGAAGTCCATTTTGACTTCATACATTTGACAAAAATATTAACGAAACTTTGCACCACTCAAAAATATAATAAAACCATTTCAACAAACTCAGACGTCAAATTTACTACTTTGTATACTGTATAATTTCGTAAAACACAATTTAAAAAAGAATAAATTTGTTTGTTATATGCTGATTAAGATTGTAATTAAGAATTCAAACCAGTGAAAAAAAACAGTATGTTGGATACTGACAGTTACATGAAATGAAAATATAGGGAACATTCCAATTCCAATTCCAATATATTTAATTCTCGAACCTGACGTTCTAGTTTTTTTTATCTCGATATCTTAAAATTACATACTTTATAGGATATAGACTGACATTTTGGAGTACAGAATATTCCCCATACTATAGTGAAATACGGCTACGTTCTACAGAATACCAAACTACAGCCTATTTGCTCAAAACTCTTAAAATACCGTTACATGGGATCGGGAAGCCCCTATATAACGGCACGGTAACCTGTATTAATTAATTTAAGTGGGAGATTAAGTATACTATAAGAATTCGAAGTCCCCAAAATACTGAGAATTGGGTGCTTCCCTTATATAAAGTGGACCTATATTTGTAATTTGTAGATTATAATTTTGTACCCAATAAGAATATAATGTACCAAATTCGGTTGAAAAACGCACTCGAGGACCCCAAAATACCGAAAATTTGGGGTTACCCTTATATAAACGTGGACCGATATAGCCCATCTTCGAACTTGACCTGTCTGCAGACAAAGACTACTCTATGTAAAATTTTGGCGATCTATCTCAATTCGTTTAGAGGCTAGAATCAGACACACGGACTGACGGATATGTTTAAATCCTCAATTAAGCGGACCCCTCAATTTTCGGTTTAAAACTTGAACAATTAGCACAAAGTCGACATATATGAGAGCTATGTCTTAATCTGAACTAATTTCAACAAAACGTGTCCCAAGTTTAGGACATCAGTAAGTTTTACAAAATGTGGTGCTAATCGGCCAATGTTTGACTCTTGTTGACAATATACCAGTTTCAACAGGGTTCGTCCTTGGGCCAAATAAATGATCTGAAACAATTTTTTTATACCCTCCACCATAGTATGGAGGGTATATTAGTTCTGTTTTTCCGTTTGTAACACATCGAAATAATCATTTCCGACACTATAAAGTATATATATTCTTGATCAGCGTAAAATTCTATGACGATATAGCCATGTCCGTCTGTCTGTCTGTCCGTCTATCTGTTGTAATCACTCTAGCGTCTAAACGAATGGAGATAGATCGCCAAAATTTTGCATAGAGTCGTCTTTTGTATGCAGGCAGGTCAAGTTCGAAGATGGGCTTTATCGGTCCACGTTTAGGCATAGCTCCCATATAAGGGTACCCCCAAATTTTCGGTATTTTGGGGTTCTTGAGCGCGTTTTTCAACCGAATTCGCTGAATATTGCTACATTGGGTTCTTATTGGGTACTTAATATCACCACAAAAAATTATAAATATAGGTCCACTTTTTCTGGTAGCCCCCATATAACGGTACCTCCTAATTCGCAGTATTTTGGGGGATTTGCTCGTATTTTTCCGCCGAATTAGCTGTAATTTACTATTTTGAGTTCTTAATAGGTACAAAATATCTCCACAAAAAATTATGAATATAGGTCCATATTTTCGGATAGCCCCCATATAAGGGTACCCCCAATTTTCGGTATTTTGGGGTTATTGAGCGCGTTTTTCAACCGAATTCGCTGCAATTTGGTATTTTGTAGTCGTATATGGTAACAAATCTCCCTACCCAAAAATTATTAATATTCGCCCCCATTTTGGGGTAGTCCCCATATAACCCCCTTTTTTATATTAAAATAGTTATCTGATTTGGTCCGCGATTTGAATTTGGTTCTAAGACTCTGTTGTAATCATTTCACCTGCGGAGGATAGCTATATAAAAATTAGAACGTAATGTTCGATAATGAACCATAGCCGTATTTAGATCTAGCCCCTGTGTGGAGGTTCCAGAATGAGTGAACCGATATTCCCCATTTTCGAATTTGAACTAGGTTTGGAAGAAATAATAAGATAGACAAAGTTTGGATGAAATCTAAATTTTCTAAAACGGATGGGGTCTGGAACCAGTATTTCGAAAATGCACATTTTTACCGTGTTAACGTGTATACACCCTCATTAGCCAAAGGCTGAGGGTATATTTATCCCTTAACATTTTCTGAAATTTGTATTATGGTTTACATAATCCACTTTTTGGTATGTTCCCTATATTTTCATTTCTAGTACCTGTCAGTATATCTATGGTGTAGGGTATCCAAAGTTCGGCCCGGCCGAACTTAACGCTTTTTCACTTGTTTTATCTAATTCGGATCATAAATGCGACCTGTACTTTTTACATAGCCCAATTCGGATCAGAAAAGCAAAGTGTACTTTTTTTACTATTTTAAATTTACATATTGAAGAACGAACATATATAAAACGAAGCAGATATTGATTCTACGCATATTCTCAAAACACATATGTATGGATCTCCCTCGTTTCCTTTGCATTTTACAAATATATGTATAAAGACATAATAGCCCTATCTCGCAGTGTGGTAAGGTGTATACAGAATTGGAGGTTATGGTTCTGCAGGCCTCATTAAAATACTATTGATGATTATTTATTAACATACACTTTTCCGATACGATCAAAAATGCGTCTTATCGAAATGTTAAATCGGAAAATGGAATCTTTTAGTCAACTGATTTCAGTGATACTTTCCAATTAGTCTTGTTACAAATTCGAAAATACAAGGCAAACAAATGTTTTGAAAAAGGACAGTTGCTGACCAATATTCTTTACAAAATCAAGCTGTTATTATAAGTCTACAATAAAAATATAATTTTCAATTATAAATAATTCCTACAAAAATTTGTTTAACATACATTTCACTGCAAAACGGTTTAGTATGTATTGAGATTTTTTATGTAGGTAAAAGTGTTGATGAAAGAATTTTCTTATTATCCAATAAAAAAATATAAATTATAAAAATTAGACCATTACAATAATATTTATTAACATTGTTCCCAATTTCTGTGATTTATTAAACAACATTTCGAAAAAAGAAACTATAAAATACTAACAACAATGACAAGTGAAATATATTTTGTGTAATTTTTAACAAATTCAAAGTCATAAAACATTATGCCATTCATATAGAATTCACAAAAACAAAACGAACAATTAAGGACATAAATTTACAGACCTCGCTCGGGATTAACAAACGAAATAAAAAACAAACTATATGTTGTTTAACAAACTATTGCTGCTTTTTGTAACCAATTGAATTTTTGCTTCATTACGAATTGACAAAAGTGCGGGTTTTTGTTTCATGTTTATTGTTATTGATAACAGTCGATTAGCTCACAGTTTATTCTAAAAACATAGTAACAGCAACAAGCAATAAACGAAGAAAGCAAAGCAAAGCTTGAAAACAAAATCAAGACAAAAAACAAAAACAAATCGATTTTATTTTTTACACAAATCTTAAAGTGTGTTTTAGTATCAACAAATATTTTATGTAAATTTTCCAGCGTCTTCCAGCGGTTCTAAGCAGGATTGGAGTCATTCTTGCAAGTCCTTTGGTAAGCTATCAACTCATGCACATTCTCTCTCTCTCTGTATTTTAAATTAAACCGAACTCAACAACAAAACGTGACTTAACTCACAAATTTGTCAAGAGCTGCTGGCAACAAATTAAAAATTAACCCAAAATCACCTCAAATTCCAAATCGAACCTCTAACACAAAAAAGGACACAGACCATCAGAACACGTCAATGTCATTAGTAAGACACCAATCATCCCCACCTCAGTCACCACATGATCTCTACTAACACCAACAACCAGCCAAACACCAAATATATACAAATCAGCTGAAGCTCTAAAATCGGATCATGCTGATAGTGATTACGAAAAAGCTTAAAATGTTCAAGTAAAACAATTCAATTTGATGTGCAAATTCATAGATCTTTCGCCAAAACAACGAAATAAAAGAAAAACAAAAAAAACTTAAACTGGCATGTGAATTTCGCTTGTATTGCAAGAAATGAGTTGTTTAATTTTTTTTGTTCAGTTCCATTTTAGACTTTCATACATTTCCGTTTCCTTTGTTTTTTTTTCTCAAATTTCTAACGTAGACGCACGCTTTGAAATATTCTTCTTTTTGGTTTCATTCATTATTTGATATCCTGTTTTGACAAATAGAATATTTGTTCGGCTTTTTTATAAATTAAATTATCATTATGAAGAAAAATCAGTTTCTTTTTTCAATGAGACATATTGACCATCAACTCTTCTCATACCAAATTAAAAAAAAAAAATAATTAAAAAAACACACTTTAAGGTCACTTATAATTGGGAAAAATGTTACGTGTGTATAAATTAACGTATTATTTTCGTAACCTTACTTTAAACGTATTGTGCAGTTTTTGTGTGTGTGTAAATATTTAAACAAAGAAAAAAACAACAGCATCAAAGATATCACAATATCAAACAAAAAAAATTAATAAAAAATAAGCTTATATAATATTAATCATTTTTAGGATTCGTTTTAGAACGCTTAAATAGCCGTTAAATTAGAAACGAAGACGCACATATCAATTTTAGAGACTCCCATACAATTAGCCAATAATGGGCCTATGTATATATAACTACCAACTACCAAAACAAAAGTTAATAAATATTTTCATATCTTCCAGTTACAACAACAACAACAATTGTTCATAATGTTGAAAATATTAAAGATTATTTATGATTTCGTTCCATTATTTTAGTTCGTATTTTAATATTTATTTCCTACATTTGGTTGCTGTAATTGGCTTCTTTTAAACATTGTTGTCGAATTTTCAGTTTTTGTCGTTTGATCCATTATTATTTTGCGCAAACTCACTCCTACACTATGTTAGTATGAATAAACAACAACAAAAACAAATTAGAAATATAAATTAACGTTGGCTCCTTCCCATTATATCAATTCAACGATTTATATTTTTGGAAATGTTTCATTTAAATAATAATATTTTTACATCTAAAAGCAAACGTTTAAATACAAAATAAATAAAAAATTGTGATTTAAACTAAATATAATATTCAATGAAACATGAAATGAAATAAAACAGTAGAACATAAGTTGTAGGCGTTTTCTATCCTGACCCTAGAGTCCCCTGAAACTACATCATTTCATTTTCACCTTGAAATATATTCAATTGAATTTACGATTTAATTTACACAAATGAAAAAGCCGATATAATCGGCCGGGTCAATCTTTTTATGGCCCCCCTCACCAAAGGTAGGGGGGGGGGGGGGCACAAACAGTTATTTAAAATTTAGTTTCCAATATTAGCTTGATGTGTGCTTGAAGAAGAAGGCTCGCGCCCTTCTATGCCTATAAATGATGGGTATGTCAAAAGGGCGCCTATATTGTCGAATGTATGATATGTATATATATGACAAGTAAACAAGTAAAAACATGTTACCTCCACCATAATGGTTACATTCGAAATACCGATCGGGTCTTCCAAGAGAAATAACCGATCAGGTCTTCCAGGAGAAAACGAAATTCCAAACTGCGGACACTTTGATTCCCAGTAGTTCGAGTAACTGGTGATGAACTAGATATTTTACTAATTACCTGTAAATACCACTAGTTACCACTTCATGCCCTAGACTGGTGAATTTAACATGGGTATGTCATTGTGGAAGTCAATTGTCCCCTGCCAGCGTTACCAGTATACAGTCATTTCGATAGTCGATTCATTACCCTTTGCATTACCAGTAACTACTGAATTGGTATGATGCGCGTAGACAACTTTTTCAATTGACAAAAAAATCCAACAGTATATTTTGTGTTCCTTTTTGGGGTATGAAGTAACTAGATCACCAAGTAACTAGCTATATAACTATATAATAGCAGACAATTGATATTTTTTGAACAACTGGGATTGGGCTAGGTTCTTGAACTACCAATGACGCGTGATGTTTAAAAATATGTCTGCAATCTGGGAGCTATACCAAAACAGGGTCGGATTACTCCGAAATTATAAATTACAGTTAATTTGGAAGGAAAACGTGCCATATCCCAAAATACCGAATAATGGGGATACCGTTATATGGGGGCTATACCAAAAACATGTTAGATGTTCTAGCAAAGTCTGTGCAAAATTCCAGAGCTCTATCTTTATTGCGGTCTCTATCGTGATTTCAAAAGACGAAGAATTATATTCAAAACCAGTGAGCGGAGCAGTATAGTCGGACGGGGCCGACCATGTGATACCCTACACCAAAAACATGTTAGATGTCCTAGCAAAGTCTGTGCAAAATTCCAGAGCTCTATCTTTATTGCGATCTCTATCGTGATTTCAAAACCAGTGAGCGGAGCAGTATAGTCGGAGGGGGCAGACCATGTTATACCCTACACAACTTCCTCCAAACTATAACTTTCTGTGATTCAATATTCTGAGCTTGGGCAATATTTCGCCCTTGGGCAATATTTCACCCTTGACCGACTAGAGGTCAACAAATATTACAAATATTCAGTACAGCCCCTCTAATCACTTGTCCAGATTCCTTTCACCGTACGTTGTGTTGTGATGTTCGGCTTTCAATTTTGGCCTATATATCGACTCGAAAAAAACACCAACAAATAAGTTTTCGGTCCACTTCATCCCAAAATTATTATGTGATCATCACCGAAAATTATACGCGTTGTCCTTGACCATAACTGGAACCTCATGCAAAATTTCAAAGCGATCAGCGCTATATTTCCGTTCTCTAGTGTGGTAATGGGTTACCAAATAATATATGAATACGTAAGCACCTGCAAATATTTATGTGTAAGTCTCGCATCCGAGTACATACGACAATATAATTGGTATCAATTTAAAGGCCAACCACTCATCTTGAACATACTATGAACTTCTCTTCAGGTGCAAATATATACCCCATAGAATATAAATTTTACAAAATATTGACCGATCTTTATCAAAACAGTCATACTTATTCTTTGGCCCGATCCCCTTCTCCATGCAAAAATTCACGGTGTTTGGGCCGCGACCAGAAAAACCGACAAAAATAAAGTTTTTGGTCCATTTCATTCCCTTAATATAAATCTTCATTGGCCAGAACCCATCCTACATGCAAAATTTCGTGAAGATTGGTCCATAACTGTGGCCTGTATCGTCTTTACAAATTATAATGGACAGACGGACGGACGGACACACATGTCTAGATCGACTCAGCTAGTCGAGATATGACTATGGGTATACTTAAAGGTGGGTCTAGGACCAATATTTCGCGACGTTACAAACTTTTGGGGCTGCACAAGGTGTTACGGTTGAACAAAACATTATATAATATCCAGGGTGCGGAGAATTATTAACGCTTTTTTCACGAATAATCACGGCGAGAATTCGAATGTTTTCAATTTATCGCAAATGATAAAGTTACAATGAGTGAAAAGCATTTGCAACCTCTCACGAACGATAAAACTTCGCTGTAAGCGTCGTCGATTCGTCGTTCTTTCCCGAGCATTTGTTGCTGAAGAGCGTTCTTTGAAGAACCCAAAAAACAAATTTTCGCGAATGCTCGCGAGCCCTGTTAAAAACAACTATTTTTTTATTGAAAAGTCTAAAAGTCGATGTCGACTTTTGGCCCTTGAGAAAATCGCAAAATCGACTTTTCAAGATCGACTTTCGATTTTCTTCATAAATTCTTGGATTATTATCACAAAGCCGAAATTGTCCAAAAATAACACATTTCAGAACTTTTATTCATCTGTTGACAACAATTCTTATAAAAAATTAAATTTTTATTCAATTTTGCTTTAGTTGGTAAAAGTCGAAAATCGATTTTGAACAGGTTTGACAAAATCGAATGATCGAAAAGTCGATTTTTTAGTCAAAGGCAAAAATCGAAATGTCTAAAAATCGACTTTTTGGTCAGAGGCAAAAATCGAAAAGTCTAAAAGTAAGCGAATGTCAAAAAGAATTTCAACCACCAAACGAAAAGAACGATCGTTGTTGTGTGCTCTCACTCGTTTGTTATGTGTGTGCGAACATTCGTTTGGTAAAGAATTAATCATTCGTCAAATTAGCCCAAAACACAAGCGAATTTTGCGCACCCTGTTAATATCCAACATGATATATTACTACAAAATACCAAAAACATATCGGACCCTTATATGAATGCTGTGTTAAAACATGGGTTTGTATCCTCTGAGAAATCGAAATATCAAATTAAAATCGTAAGTTAAATATTGAAGTAAACGACTAAGATTCTTTACTGAAGCAGTGTAGTGGTAACATTTTTCCTAGCATATGTATATCTCCCGTTCGACTCGCCTATAACACCACCAACGGCGGAGCTGCAGCGACTGGGGAAGAAAACAGCAAAAACAGGTAACGAAGTACAATTGCTAGTGATGCTAACTCACACCATATTGCGTGGGGTAGTACTAATACTAACAAAAGGGGCCAGGCCCTTCTATATTATTTGAATAGTAACGACCTAATAACCCTTAATGTAGGCAAATAATCTACCTTTGTTTACTGAATTAGAGAGGAGGTATTGGATACAACAATATGTTTA